CCTGCATGTAAATATATCACTGGTTCAACAAGCTGTTGCAAAGCTTTATGAAAAAGATGATTTTTAATGACCCAGAAGTAATTACTGAATTGGCCTAGCCACACATACATAGCTTACATGTATAATTAAAAAGATGTAATTGACAAACGAGGTGGCATCATGACTTTCTGGATGTCTCCTGAACTTGTTTAAATCGATGATACTTTCCAATAATTTAATATATACTTTTGTAAGGTAAATAAACAATCTATGATGATTATGGTGATGATGATGATGATGACGGTGATGATAATGTCTAATTTTACATGTAAATACTGCCTTTTTAACCTCTGACTTTTTCTATACAGGGAGGAGTAAAAAGTCCCAGAATAGTCTCAAATTAGAGAATGATACTAAAGCTGAGGTACAGTAAATACATGCACATGGTTCAGTTGATTGTTTTGAAAATCCTCCCAGTAACAGGCTACAGCTGTAATTTTTGCTTTTTCATTCTTGTAGACCATTGATGTTTGAAGAGTCACTTATGATTAGTGTGTTTAAGGGTATTAAGTAGGAAACAATATTGCAAATTATGACTGTACGTACATGTACAGTTTGTACATCTTGTTACATTTACCACGTGATATACAGAATAATCTTGAAACTTCTCAGTAAATGTTATCAAACACAGTCTTAAGCTATTAATGAGAGAAGTTTGAGCTCTCATTCATGTATGAATAATAATAATTATTGTATGTTGGATGTTATCACGAGGTCTCGTCTTGTCCAAGTGTCTTGTTGCTTGATACTAGAATCATGTTTCTTGATAATTTAGAATATTATTGTTTTGTGAGATATGGCTCTTGTCTTGCAAGGTGGTAACTTTTACTTTAACTCAGTTCTGTACTTTAATACTAGTAAAATTGTAAATGGCTTGCATTTAGTGTCCCTCACCCTTGATTGTTCTGGACTGATAAAAAAAAAAGTGTGCATTGTGCTAAATGGTACATGTACATACAGCAGAAGCTTTTTTCCAGATCTACATGTACATGTATGAGTCCTGATAGGTTTGTGTGAAGATTTGCTCTCTTTCTTTTGCACGAGAGTACATGTACCACTCAAAAGTGCATGTAAGCTACCACCTCTCATCTCATTTGTTGCAAAACATCATTGCCTCGGCTCTCTTGATATGCATCTTGTTAGCATGGTACTGTACACTGAATGGTTAAGCATACAGCCCTTTAACGGCTCAAGATGACTCGCATTCTTTCTAACTCTCTGACCTTCGTCTTCTTTTACTCTCTTGCTTTTAGCACTCCATTGATGGTGGTTTTCTATTGACAATTGATGATGAATTCTTAGAGGTCTAACTTTGAATGTGACTTAACCATTAATCAATTGTCTGCCATTCTATAACTTTTGTACTACATTGTTGTTGTATTTTAGCCTGTGATTCTTATTAATTTTTAATATCAATGTTGTTTAAACAAACTGAGTCAAACAAACATGAATCAATCAATCAATCTTGAAATCAATCAATCGATGAATCATTTAGTCTGCAAACAGGCTTTTCGCATTGAATCACTGCCTAAATTAACCAATCAGTCAATAAATCAATAACTATCATATTAATAAATTTCTGGATGCATCTAGCTAGCCATAAGAAGCCATCTAATTGAAGATGCTTAATTATATTGATTGGTTCATGCAATTTAAAAACTCTTCAATGTACACCACATAATTATTAAAACTTTCTTTATGATTAAAGTATACTAGCCTGGTATCTTGGCAGGACATTTACTGGGGGTCGGAAACCTCTGTCTTAAGTGGCATTGAAAAGATGATTTTTAGCATGATGTGTTTGATGTGTTTTCTTTTTCTTTTTCTTCTTTTTTTTGTGTGTGTATCCCTTTTTAATGTAAAATTGTAAAACTAGCATTATAATATCTCTTTGCTTGTCCATTGCACAACTTACAAATAAAAACAATAAAATACAAAAAAAAAATGACGTGTTTAACATTATTTTTACAATGTAAAGTGAGTTGACTTGCAATGTCTCTGAACTATGTTTTTGTTTACAGAGTTACTGCATGCTACACTGTTTTTTAACAATGACAGGCCTTTTTGCTGGGTGAACATCTTTTTCATCTCATCCTTTTACTTGTACATGTACCTGCGACTGTGTCATATTTTTTTTTCTTTATCATTATTTGTGCCCTAAATTTCTGTGAGCTGGGCTCACTCACTGTAGTAGAAGATAGGATTTCAGCTGCAAGTGTGTGGCAGTGAGCACTGATGTTGACATTGCATTTATGTACATGTACAGAATGTATACACTATGAATTTCAATGATATGTAATATCTGTACCATATGTCTGCGAGTCCAAACAAATTTAGCAGTACCTTACACTTCAGTAACAAGCCATGTTTAACATTTCAGGGTGAAAAAGCTGCTACAGTTTTAGATGCAGAGTTTGTAGATGTGTATAAAGGAGCTCATGGTGTGTTGATGACTATGGATATCACGAAACCATGGTTAGTGATGTTGGAATAAAAATTATCAAACAATAGCTAAAATCCAAGTCTTAAAGAACCACCGAGGACTCAGAGCTAGTTCCATGCTTGTACACTGTCATTATTCAGGACCTTGTTTTAAAATCAGGATTAAAATTTAGGCTAAACCCATTTTAGATCAAGATACTGTACATGTACAAATGTATGCAATTGTTTAGTACAATAGTTGTGATAGGTGGTAACTTTAAGATTATACATATCTATAGATTAGAAGCAAAGAGCAAAACAATGACAAATTTTAAAATGTAATATCTTATGTTGATAATTGAGTGATTATTTTGTCAATAACTGCAAAGTGATAGCCTTTAATAAGGCTACCAAATTTGAATTTAATATCCCAGGCCATGGTTAAGCAAATAAAGTTTTTGAATTTGTTGGTAGGACATTTAAATACATTGAAAGAGAGTTGCCAAAAGTACCACCTCATATACCTGTCCTCGTCCTGGTAAGTGTATGGAAATTTTAAAAATTGAATTTTTTTTAAAACACTTTTTCAGCTGGAAAAAGTGTCAAAGATTTTTGCTTCATTGTCTATATAGATGTTGTAGTTTAAAATGAATTTCCGGTCAAAATGACTTTAAACTAGTAAATGATTTGTATGTTCCTTTGTTCCAGATTTAATACAAATCAAACTAGTTTGACATCATTTTGACCTGAGATCCAGTTTAATCTACAACATAGGCACGTACTGTTATTATCAGAAAAAATACCTTTCTTGGTACGAAAATTTAATAAATAGTGATTCAGTGCTTATTATTGTGTCAATGTAGTGTACATGACATTGATTATATGTTATATTCATCCCTTGTTTCTCTCAGGCAAACCATCGTGACATGGGAGAACATCGGTTAGTCCCAAAAGATGAAGTTGTTGCATTCATTCAACATCTGGAGAGGCAAGTCAGTCTTACACACTCTATCATACAGAGATTAATGACGTTACTTGTGCACTTATGTACTGCTTGAAGAAAAATGCTGAACTAGATACCTTTAAAGAAGATTAATTCAAATTTTGGTTTATATCAGCTTGATTGAACTTGATGTATGAAATAAGTTGCCCGTAAATATATTCAACATAGCTTCTACAATGCCATGTTACTCCCCACCTTTGTGTTCGTAAAATGTAATAATCAGACATACAGCTGTAGACATTTTGGTCACATTGTGTGATATTGTACTTTTGTTGTTCTTGTGATGTACATGTAAGTTGGCTTTTACATCAGACCTACAGGCATACAGCTGTAGACATTTTGGCCAGATTGTTCGATATTATACTGTTGTTCTTCTTGTGATGTAAGTTGGCTTTTGTATCAGACCTGATAGATCTCCACCTGTACACTATGCTGAGACATCCATGAAAAATGGCTTTGGACTCAAGTACATTCACAAGTTTCTTAATTTGCCCTTTTTATTATTACAGGTTAGTTTCTAGCACATGCAGTAATTTTAGAAAGTAGCTCACTATCTATCACAGAATAGATAGTGAGTAGTGAGCAGCGGCGGATTTATACTAAAACTCGATAGAAACACAGTACTAGTACAAGCTCTTGATGAAATGATGGCGTGAGCAAAGAGTATTTAGTACATTATGATTTCAAATTAAACAGTTAAGTTTTTTTTTTCTTTTTTTTTTCATTGCAGTATTTTCCAAAAGAAATTTAGAAAACATGTTCTCTGTGTTTGTGTCGATAGAAACACGGTACATGTTTTCTACATTAATTAGAAACACGGTACATGTTTTCTACATGTATTTCTTAAATACAATGCACGTATAAAAGTAATCTTATAATATTGCTTGATAACTTTACACTTCTTTTTGGATAGTCAGTTATATGTAGGAGCAAGCACAAACAAACGTGTGCAGAAGTTTGTAATAAGATACCAAAGCTGTTTTCCAGTTTTCTTTGTCAATGCCACCTTGTTTAATGCTTTGATGATTTCTTCGCCTGAACAGAGAGAAACTCTTCTAAAGCAGTTGCAAGTCAATGCAGAAGACATGGAGGTACAATTTATATGTGAATTAGTTTATTTTTTCTTTATTAAAATCAGCCACGGTGTTATCCAGCTACATGAAAAAAGTATTTTAAGTTGTAAATTTACATGACACACTAATCTATAGTACATGTAATAGATAATTTTCCTACAGGACCCTAATCAGCCTCAGCCATTTTCGGTGCCATCGAAATTATTGATAGTATGCGGTTCAGAAGCGAAATCTTATCGCTTTACTCTAAGTTGTGTTCCTGAGAGTATGTTTAAATTATCATGAGTAGTTTCACAATGATATGCTTCGTTTCGACATGCTCCGAATAAAATACTATCGCCAAAATTCTACGTAAAATTTACTCCGCCGTGGTACAAAAGACCTTAGCAAATTCAAGGCTAGTTAAAAGCAAATACACATTTATCTAACATGATAATCAATCATTTACCTCTACTTGGTAACCAATGTGACGTCAACCGTGTTACTGTTGTTGTAGTCAACCCTTGAAGAGCTTCAGATTCACAAGGAAACAGAAGAACAAGACTATGAGAAGTGAGTTGTGTCACTGATTGATTTAAAAGCCTTCCAAGGACTTGGTTAGGTTTTGAACGAAAATGCCTAGTTAAGACTAGCGTAAGTTCTTATATCCCAAAAAGGTTTCTCTCTTTGAGCCACATAATGTAGAGTTTACTAGGGATCAGTGGTTATGCACCTTTTTGTTATTGTAAAAGCACAAACTTACAGTTGTACCTACTTTTTAAGAGCTTTAAAATCAGTCCTTGTTTTGTCACTAACGGCATTTAAACTTGTCATTACAAATAATGACGAAGGCGGCTGCCAAGTTGTTTTCCCGCCAAAATGGCACCGGCTGTCCGACTCACTAGCGTGCACCCGTGGACTACCGGGAAACCTGAAAGGTCTCCCCTCTACTGTCCATCTACAGACTTGGAGGTTTTCACCTTCCCCTAGCCTGCGAACGCAGACGTATTTCCGGCTGTCGCTTGTCTCCGCCGAAAATAACGTCTGCGAACCCGAGCTAGGAAACGATTTCTGTGACGTAGGAATTTTAAGCCAATCACAGTTTAGCTCAAGTAACCCCAGAACTACTGCGCGAGGTATTCGCTGCGAGGAGCACTCGAGTTTCATTCAATTATAGAATCTGATTGGCCAAGGAGAAACAAAAGTCATTACGTCACAGAAATCGTTTCCTGGCTCGGGTTCGCAGACGCTATTTTCGGCGGAGACAAGCGACAGCCGGAAATACGTCTGCGTTCGCAGGCTAACCTTCCCCCTCCTCTGGGCCCAAAACTTGAAATTTCTCTTTGCCGTCCCTGCCTGGTTTGTAAGGTTAGTGTTTTCACCCATAGATTTGTAAATTTGCTGGACAAAAGGAGAAGGGATCACGAAGCCAAGAAAGCTGCTGCTGCCGCGGCCACCGTCGCAGAAGGGGAAGGTCAGCAAAATACTTCATCTACCACCCCCTCAGATGTTGACACAGGTGCATACGTTAAAACATTATCATACAGCTGTAATGTAATGGGTGATGGCCTTTCTATAAATACACGAAGCCGGTAGAAATTTAAGAAGTGGCCCCTTTTATAATATTCACGGTAAAGAGCGTCTAAGATGAGATGGGAAGACAACAGTGTACATAAATAGGCTTTTGTCGGGCTGAGCTTAGAGTAGTACTAGCAACTTATAGAGGTCAAAATTCGTGGTGATTACAGTAACCGCATCACTAAAATTTCCCCTGATTTTACAAACTTCTCAGCAAGTGAAACGGCCAATGTGTACCATTACTTTCCAATACATCTGAAAAAATGTTCGCAATTATGATCGAGTTTTGAGGTTATCCCGCACAGCCGAAACTCGGGGGGAACTGAAATTTCCAAAATGCGTTTGTCAGAGTATTTGATACTACTCTTCTCACCATTCATCGCTTCTTTTTGTCTTTTGATTTTGGTAGCTAAATCTCGTAATGGCAGTTCCGCGAACGATGGAAGATCACGTAAAGAGAGACCATTACGGAGAACGCCCTCAGCAACAGGCCAAGACGCCAATCAAGAAGGTACAGTTTTACGAACACACATATCACTCTCCCATGTCTTTCTTGATTTGTTTTGTTTTGTTTTTTTAATTGATTTCTTCTTTGATGGAGACAGTGGTAATGCTTAGCATGCGTTCGTCACTGGACATGTGGCTCTTCGGTCTAACGAACATTGTCCTAGACTACCAAACGGTTTACGTACTGTAGATACTCATCTACGATAGAATTAACACCAGACGTCCATTTAATCGTTTTATTGTTTAGCAGGTCATATTTCCTTCACTGTCTGCACTCTTCCACTCCCCCCCACCCCCATCCCCACCAGCTGAGATTCTGATAATTATGTTGTAACCAAGTTTTCATATCTTTGTTTACAATATTTGCCTCATTACCATAAGCGATACAGTTTCTGATGGAGCTACAAAGAGATTAATACTGAATATTGAAAGAGCACAGCACGATTAACTTTCCCAAGGAATTTGAGCGCGGTGTATTGAATACTTTTTGTGCGACGAGGGTTTGAAAGCTCAAAATTTTACAAAGAATGTACGAGCTCATTAGCTTTTGCTACACAGAAATTTTGATGTTTTTGAAAGCCAATTTCTCCTCGAATATTACACCCAAAGAGCCAAACATTTCACCACTTACTAATTTTCACAAGCTCTGTAAGTTTTTCTAGTAAAATCGTGTCTAGCTTGATGCCTTCTATGCGCAAAGTCGTATGTTAATGTGGAAAAATGTAAACAATGACGTCAGCAAAGATTCGCCTATAGAGCGGTTTTTAATTGAGTGTCGAAAGTGATCAGGCAATTACTTTGGTTTCGATTTTGGTTTTACTTCGGTTTGAGATTGGCTGAGTAGTCTGACGTAATTGGTAAGTTATTGGTTTGGTTTTGGTTTTACGACACTCAATTGAAAGCCACTCTATTTTACTGTGTCCGCTCACTTAGCGCATGTATTCCTTATTTAAACAAACAAACAAACAAACAATCAGACATTAACTTTATTTATTTTTGATAATTTATACAGTTCTACCTCAAAATGGTTTGTCGCATTCTACCACTAACATTGACGAGTTTGTGCCAGAGGACGAACTGGACGCGGGGTTTTTAGACGAGGAAGCAAGCTCACGCGGCAAAAAACGAGCGAATAAACCTGCAGATAAGAAGCAAACAGCTCCAGTTGAAGTGGAACTAAGCGTCAGCGAAGATAGTGATAGGTAAGGCAGGATGACATTTCCAAAATCTGGATTTCTAGAAAAATTAAGACATAAAGATGGAATTCAATGCATGATGTACAGTTACTTCCTTTGTTTTTGCTCGTAACGGTTTCTGTCAGTAGTCAAAAATACTCGAGTAGCTTGTCGTAACCAATCAGATTGAACACATCGTTGTTTTCGGTCAGTCAGATCTTTACCCAAGACGGCAAGTGATTTTTCTCGCGCTTCTCATCGTTTACAAGTTTGCGCTTTGCATTTTAACCGTGGGATTGGCATGATGAAGAAAAGCGCATGACTGACACTAGTAGCACCAAATTTGGTACATGTAATCACGATAGTGCGGGCTCACTTTTTCAAACATTTCTTTGTGTGTTGCTGTAGTGACAGTGATGGAAGAAACCCAATGGTGGCAGGATTCGCCGAGGATATAGACTCCGAGGACGAACCCACTACTCCTGTAATCGCAAACCACGTAAATGAAGAATCAAACAGCAAAGAACAGTTAAGAACACCAAAGAAACCATCTGCAGCTCTGAATGTTGAGTTAACTTCAAGTGAAGAAGAGGAGGACGAGGAATACAAACGGAACCAAGAGGAAGAGAGAAAAGAAAGAGAGAAGAGAAGAAAGGAGGAAGACAGAGGTAAAGAAAAACATAACGAGGGAAGTGAAACTGTGGAATTGAAACTTGAAATACCAGTGAAGTCGTTAATGACGGAAGAACCAGCTGTTGATGGTCTTGGTCTCGGAACTGAAGATGTGGATGATTGGTTAAATTCGCCTGATTCAGATCCTAAGGTACGGTTTAGTGTGATTTGGTTTAAATTTCTGTAGTCAATTGTAACCCGATACTTCTTTATAGTAACAAAAGAATGTTATTCATATATACGTTTTGGAATTCGTTCGCGGTCTATTAGTTCCATTGCCTGAATCAGGTTGGCTTCTTTCTGCGTGAACGTTAGTTTTATTGAAAAGTACGCAAAATCAGGATGTACATTACATATAACAGTAAAAATAATGTTCGTCCGAGAAGTTCACTAGCGTATAAGCCTTATGTGGTATAAGCATAAGCACCATATGCAGACCCATTAGAGTGCTGCCAAGTAGCGCCTTTTGTTAAGAAATGTTCCTGACAAAAGGCGCTAATTATCAACGTTCTACTTGCGTCTGCGCATGTCGGCGCACGTGACGTCGACAGTGAGTCCGTTCAACATTAATACATTGTCAAGCAAACTTGTGATGAGAGTAGAGTACGTCATCAACTACGGGATGTTGTGTTATGTGCGGCTCAACTTGAATAATAATCGTAGCCGTAAGCAGAATGCATAAGAGGACTTAATATTCCAATCTTTGATTTCCATGTAAGTAACCCGTTCCTTTTAAGTTAACAACTGAGCTGCAGTGTTGTGTGCGACATCATCTAACACAACTGTGTTTGTTATTCACTCTACAGATTCCATTTCGCACATCAGCCGCTCATAAAGAACATAAGGCAAGGTCGGTAAACCAAGTAGGACGTTCATCATTTAATACTCCCTCAGCAATCTAATGACTTTGTAATTTTGTTTATCTGGGTTTGACCTGCATTTTTTTGCGTCTATTTCTTCAACAGGAAAACTGACACTCAATCATCTGCACCTGCTATCCCTGTAGATGAGTGGGAAAAGTTCATGGCTTCGCAAATGCAACCGCAAAGAAAAGGAACCCAAACTTGTAAGTCTTCTGGTCTCCCTAGGAATTGATGATCTGCTATTCATTCCGTCGTACTTTCTAAATCCCTCGGTTATTTTCCTCCTTATCAACCTTTAAAGGGAACCCCAACTTGTAAGTCTTCTGTTCCCTAGCCTAAATCTTCATCGCTTGCGACTCCCTTTCACGCTCACTTCTTCCATTTTGAAGGCCGCGTCTTTGGATTTTAGTTTTCCTCCCTCACCGAACTCACCTTTTTTTTTTTTGTCAAATTTACGCCTCTTTGAAGGCAGTCGCCATTTTTCTCCAAATGTTATACGAACGTGAAAGGGACGGCTTTGAATAGTGAGCTATTTACAGTTTTTCTTAGATCTTTTTCAAGATCTTGAAAAATGTTCCTAGATACCTAAAGCAAAATCTAGTAATTGTGGTTTGAATTTTTTGGAACTAGGGCGCGGATGATGAAAATCGGACGAAAACTCGGTCAAACGACTATAATCAACCAATCAGCGAGTTCGTTAATGATCTTAATTTGCTATCGCATTAGTACCTGCGTAGAATCATCTCTCCCAAATAACATTGCTCTGAATCTGTTCTTTTTCAGCGTCTAGTTCTTTAATAGACATGAGTTTGGATGGAGACGACAAAGGTGATACAAGTAAGTGAAAAGAAATACTAATGGTGTAACCGTTACAACGATCACTGTTGATTTTCTCATCAAATACTTTGTGTGGCGTTAGACCATGATAACAACGAGGCTGACAGCCAAAGGAGTTTGTGTTTTCTCAATAAGTGCTTAATTATATAAGAAATGTGTGGAAAACTTAAATGTTGACGGACTCGGAAATACCTTAGAATTAGTGTGTTCTCCAGTTTCTTGGGATCTTCTGGAGAGACTGAATTGTCTTTGGAAAAATGAGGTATTTAGGTTTTATCTGATATTTAAAATTTAAGAGATTTAATGGTCTCTCCATTTTTGTGCAGATGAAGAAAGCAAAAGCCGTAAGAAGAAAGAGCACAAGGTATAATTACGTTTTAGTATATTAAGCCACTTCAGTTATGCCTCTCCACATAAGGTTTTGAGGCAATGTTCTTACAGTCTTTGTTTCTTAACCTCCCTTTTCCTGTATTGAGCGTCTCGTGAGAAGCGAATAGGGAACGCTTGTAGTCTTAAATTTTCACCAAAATTTCCACCATGTTGGAAAGTCTCTCTAAATAGGGTTTTTGCTGTGTTTACAGAGTGGCGAGAAATCAAAAAATAAACACAAGCAACAAAAGCACAGGGATAAAGGTGAAAAAGGGGAAGATAGCGAAAGAAAGGACAAAGAGAGGCGAAAATCACGACATAGAGAAGGCGAGGAAGGAAAGGACGGGAGAAGAAGTCGGGACGAAGAAGGCGAAAAAAAAAAGAAGCACCGTAGCAAACACAGTAGAGCGAAAAGCGAAGAGGGTGTCCAAGATGGCGTGACATATGAAAAGCTTTGACAGAAGGCCTTGCGTGACATCTAAATTTCATAATTCTCACGTGACAGCCGTCCTGTCAGTGTTTCTAAGGATGTGAAAGTTTCTACAAGCCAAGGTAGAACGTTTTGGACATGGGCAGAGAAAGGCGTCCGGGTTTTTGTTGTGCACGTCAGTTGGAAGGAGGGTCTTTATCAAACGGATGATAAAACTTCATTGACAGACTGAATCTTAATCAATATGCTTAAATATGCGATGGAAATCATGGGATTCTATTATTGGTACTATTATAAATTGGGAAAACAAGATTACTTCCGGCGGAAGTCATATAAAGACTGCAAGCGTCTGAAGCTTTCGAAATATTACTAGAGTGTAGTATCCGTTTACATTTTTTGATGCAAGTGACATTTTATAAGTTTGTCGTCCAAACAGTTATTTTAGGTTTTCTGTATCTAACTCGCCAGTTTTCATAAGCTATTTGTTTCTCTCCTCGATTTAGTTTTGGGCCCAAGCTATCCGTCTTTGTTTTGGTGAGCCTTTCATATGTAGTATCTTAAATGAATCTGTTGCGTTAATAATTCATTTACACTCGTCTGATACTCTTCTTCGTAGCTACATGTAACTGGTATCCAAATCGCCTCACAACGCCTCTCCTTACCGAAGTTTAAATGTAGTCGTGTTTACAAGCTATTAAGTGATGCGTAGTTGAAAACACTTTCCTATTGAACTGTTGGTTAGTAGAAGCTAACTGCAGAAAGTACGTTTAACCCTTCTACAGCGGCCATTCTAAAGACAGATTAAAGGAGCTACGTCACGATTTGTGCCTCTCAGTTGAAAAGAAATAATTTAAGTGGGTCATTTGTAATCCCCGTTAATCTTCTCCGTCTTTAACCATCCTTGGAGTTTTATGGTTTATTATTATCTCTTTGGTGCTTTTCTATCTTAGTAAACTATTATTTTAGGTTTCCCTTCAATTTAAAGGTAATTTTGTACGTGGCCAACACAGCTAAAAATATCGCAACTGAGCTCCGTTGAATATAAATGGCTGCTTTAAGGTTTTGAGAAGAGAAAGTGTGTAAATTGGTAGACGGTTGGGACGAAAAACCCCTGGCCTGTTGTAGAGAGGTACCATTAAAGGAAGGTGGAGGTTCAACTGTTAACAAATGTTTCATGTAACTCATGGAAGAGATGGAGATGAGAAATTCTCATGGTCAGGTTGCCTGAATTCTGGTGATATTTTGAGGGGAAATTTAATGCTGATCATGCAAGGCTGAAGGGGTTGTGGGTTGGCAGATTCTGAATAGCTTTCATTGTTCGACAAGTTTCTGCCAGATGTATATCAGTGCCAACTGGCAGTGAGAGTAATGTCAGACTGATCAGAAGTTGTACAAACAAATAATTTTCTGCAAATAAAACAGACAATTACATTTCCGTTAACCTCTAAACAGACTCTTCTATGTTTATTTGTTTGTTCTCGTCAGCAGGGTGCCATATTATTAACCTGAATCAGAAACTTATGGCGAGTAAGGTTCGCAAATTGATTGGAGAGTGGCGTATATGAACTAGTATATGATGGTGTATATGAACTAGCCTGTTCATAGACCCTCTTTTTTATCTTGAGTTCGTCGAAATCGTAAGCTTAGCGAAATGTCAACCCTGCGCGTGGGATTACAGGCACGCTCGAAGAAAAATAAGTCGTAGCAAAAAAATAAACTGCTGTGGACAGACCATATATGACCTGAAGGTAAGTGGCGCAAAGAGAACTGAATAAAGAGAAGTGGAATAAAATTGGGAAAGAATTACAATATACGCCAGTGCAGTGACTTGATTTGTCCTATCCAAAAACGAAAGTCGTCCTGAATCCACCTTAATCGGCACTTCACTGGCAATTTAAACAGGGCCGGATCTAGCCGGGGTGCAGCCCTTGCGCAACTCCCCCCCCCCNCCCGAGATGAAGTCTTCTTCGTCTTCGCTTTCAGAAGTTGTTTACCTCACCAGTCAGTTACACCATTTCTTCAGTGGTGCACTCCCTCCTAAGAAAAATCCTGGATTCGCCCCTGATAAATCAGTTGATCCCATGAAGACGGCTGTAAACAAACACTGGAATAAAAAAAGTAACGAATCAAGAAAAACGCAAACACTAGAACAAGGCATCAGAGACAGGTTCAAATAGTTCAGTGCGTTTGCTTTTGTCAGGGTATCAGGGCTGGTAGGTCTGTGGTTGGAAAGATGACGTCATCGAATCTTTGCCCGTGCCAGTTTCCTCACGATTGCAATGAGAGAGCGGCCACAAAGCTTCCACCAAAAAATTTTTCTTCCAAGGCCTGGGAAAATTATTGTTAGCGAAGCACTATTGTGTGAATTCTTCCGCCAAATGCCTGACTCTGTAACAGAAGTAGCGTAAAGTTCCTTTGTTTCGGGCACATTTTCATGTTATGGTAAAATTGTGCAAAATCAGTTTGCAGATCCGATCGCAATATCATTTTATTCGTACGTGCGTGGTTCTACAGTGATTCCACTCGACATGGAAGTGGATGTAAGGTTACTCGTTTTAACAATTCTTTCTGCGTCGATAAAAGCACAAGACGACGGAGCCAAAGGTAGGAAAGTTTTGCTGCACGTTTCTTTGGACTAGATCGTGTGTTTTCCGATGTTTTAAGAGCGTTTCAGCAAATTAATCTGAGACAGAACGAGCAAGCTAGTTGAATATGCATATGTTCCAGTAATATTACTTGGCTAGCTCTCACTTTCACGTGCAATATTTATGTTAACGAAGCGTTAATTAAGGTCCATGAAAGAGCCCTGCAGTCATGGTTGCAAGGCGTGTATCTGTGCTGTGATCCGTTTCTCTGAGGTGTAAGCTCCTGTAGATGTACACGAGACTGATTCTTCAAATCAAAATTACAATGTATTATCCCAGTCGTTGTTTTATGGCTTTAATGTAGAGGTATTTATTTTCATTATTTTTATTTTAACTCGTTATAAAAGCGCTCATAATGTCTGAATCTGACACTTCAATTATTTTCCGACTGGTATATGATGATTATTCAGTGTCATTTAATGGGTTTGTTATACCTCCCAACTAAAATACGTTTTCTGATTGGAGGAGAATGTTTTGGATGTCATCGATCAAAACTCACTAGCTCTCAACATGTCCCAAGGGCAGAGAAAAGACTCCCTAACACACTATGCAAACAGCAACAGGAATTTTCAACTTGCATATGATGTGATCAGGTCATGCACCTTGAACTGTGTCAGATTTGTGTGCCTGCTGGTGTCAAGCGAATAAGTTTTTCAGTTTGTGCTACATGTATTTTAGTTGGGAGGTCTAATATAATGCAAAGTGACTGACACCAAAGGAAACAGTGAGTTTTGTTTTCCCTCGACAGTCAATGCTCTTTCTGGCTTCGCCTTGAGGTGTTTCCCTTGGGGCCAGTCATATTAAGTGCTTTTTTCCAACTTTGAAATCTAAGAGTTTATTTGACCATATACTAAATGTAACTGGTGAGTCAACTGTGATATTATTGTGATTTCTATCAATCCAAAATGTTCCCAGATGTGTTTACATTTGCCGAGTGAACAAGAAGCTTATGGAAGCTTGAACCAGGCACTTATAGTTTTGCATTTTTGCTCACAGAAGTAAATAACTCCCTGCTTTTCTTTTAAAAGGTTGCGTGATACCCAAAAGTACCATTCATGACATAATGCAAGCAACTCTTTATCAATTTCAGGTCAATCCCCAGTATCTTATTTTATATATCTTAATAATTTTTATTTATTACTTTTTAATTCTTCGTCAGCAGGACCCTGTTGATAACAGGACTTTGTACTGAAGGGTTATCCTGGATAAATATTTGATTATTATTATTATTATTATTATATTATTATTATTATTATATTATTATTATTACTATTTTTATTATTATTATATTATCAGACTACAGTAGATTTCCTTGTTGAAATGAATAAAGTATTCAGCAAAATGTGAATTTTCAGGCAACAGAATATGGCAACCTTTTCTCAAGTTGAGAAGTGATTGTTGGTCAATATGTTGCAAAGCAAAGCGCACCTGGAGAATAAAAAGGCCTGAAATACAAAAAACATTAAAGGATTAAAGAAAAGACATACACTGTATAAGTATACATGTATTTGATATCTGCTTTCATAGTTTTTTCCCATCTTCTTCATTGTCAATGTCGTGTCGCACAAAAAAATACCAAAAGGCAAGGAGCTGATGTTCTCGAGTTATTACTAGTTCCCAGCGTACTCACTACTTGAGCAACTTGAACAAATGTATAAGTTATTGACTCATGCTCAGGGCTTCATGAAAATACAAATTAATTGCAAGACTCACACTGAGAAAATTTACTTTTAGTGTAAATGCATAGTGATGGTCCTATTTATATAATTCAGGTGCATACTAATTTACTAATATATGAAATGCAATAGGTGAAAATCCAGTAGCAGCAGACACATTTTGACTCCCAATAGAAGTTATCCAAGGGATGATTTTAACTACTGTGAAGAAGAATCACTGAAATTATGTTTCCTTTTTAGCCATTCACCAACATGAACTTTATTCTCTCTCATTGCAGTTGATTTGACAGACAAGCTTGGAATCCACTGCCTAACATGCCTAAGGAATGTTTCATCAGCTGCATGCAGACTGTTAGACAATGGAACGATATCTTGCGTCAAGTGCAAAGAGAACTTAAGAGACAACTTGCTATGTAGTAACTGTGCAGCAGGCTTTGATAATAATGAAACTACTCTTCAAGGATCTTGTAATGCCTGCATGTGTAATATTGGTTCTAGCCAGCTTAAAGATCCTTGTGATAAAGGGAATCATAAGTGCTTTATCTGTCGATATAATGGTACAAGTTTGGACTGCAAGGGATGTTCAGGCAATGATCGTGATGTAAATTCCTTTATTAAGAATTGTGTCATGGAGAAGCACAAAGTGGAAGCAAAAAAGTCTGGTAGGTTTTCATATGTTTATGCACAATTCTGTAAATATTTCTGCATATAAGGGTGTCACAAATGGCATTAACATGTGGTTCCTGGGAATTTTTATGCCCAACCCAGGAAAGGTCACTGTGGATGTATACTTTCCAAGATGGAGAGGGGTTTCTAAAGCCAATCTAAACTGGACTGAACTTCAGGCTAAACTGGAATTTCCAGAGGTGTGGGGTTTGGGTGACAGTGGGAAGGGGGAGGATTCAAACCACAGCCATACAGGGAGGGGTGTGGACATTTCATGGAACAACACAAGTATGGCTTTATGAGTGTAACGAATGAATGACATCATGATGATGTTATTGAGGACATGCTGATGTAGCTGAAGGTCATGTGATCTGTTGCATGTCAAATACAACATATTGACTGTTTTATCACTTTTCCAAACTCGGAGGAGAGAGTTGAAAAAGCAACTCACAGCTTCAGAATATTTTTTATGGACTTCAAGGTGTTTGAAAATGTGGTGAAACACACTCTCAAGTGTTTCATACATGTATGTCTTCTCAATTGAAACTAAAGGTGGAGAGAAAATGAAAAATGAAATTGTAAAAGTATCATGCTTTGTAAGATCAGATATCCAAATCCCACCACAGACATGTTTTCCTTTCTTTAAACTGGATAAATTTTTCATGAGTTTGAGAATTATATGTTACATTCATTTCTATGAAATTCTTTTTTGTTACCTAAATTGTCATTGGTTTTAAAAGGTATCATCATGAATAAATCATTCACTTGGGTCATTCTTGTACACAGTATTTTTGGTTGCATGAAATAATAAACACTTCTGGTACATGTGCAATTTATTGTATACATGTGCAGAAGTTGGTTACTGTTAATTTTTTCAAATAATTCTTGTACAAGGTACATGTATTTTAACTCCTGTTACCACATTGTACTTTGCTTCAGGGTTTTCAACAAAGGAGAAAATCATAGTCGCTGTTTGTACCACATTTGGAGTTGGCTGCCTTGCTACCACTGCATTTCTGATCTATCGCCATTTCAAAAGCAGACAGTTTAGTGTTAAAAAGCCTTTCTGGACAGTAGAACTCACAAATCGCAACTATGATGACCTGGACTTCTCACTCCTGGATCCCATAACTGACATTCCATTTGTTTATCGCACAGACATTGGTGAGTTTGACAATGATGCGCTGCTTGGTACAGAGAAACCACACTTGACCATGGAGGTGGATGGAGTGGATGTTGTTTCTTAACGAGGAGATCTTAGTAGTTTACTTATACAGTAACTGTTCTAAATACATATGACTTGTGTAGTTAGCTTTCTTGTTACTGTAGTTGTACTCTATTACTCTTGTAACTGAAAGCTGTCATACATGTACATGTATGTACTGTGTAGTTTACGTAAGGGGTAAATGCATTATGTTTTAACCAAAGTGATATATTCAGTGGTACATGTATGTATATTTACTACAAAATTAATGTCATGTGACTGAAAGGGGAGAAGGGTGGAAAGTAGTGTTTACTTTTATGTAGTGTACACATTCATTTTCATCGCCAAACCTCAAAACATTACAAGTATTTACAAATGAAATGAAACAATAACAACACTGATAAAGTACTTCATCACTGATGTCATAATAAACATGTTTTTGCTCATTCTACACATGGCAATTTGAACTGTGAGAGGCTGGGACAGAATACATGTAATGCTGTTTAATATCTGAAGTTACACAAAACTTTTTTCAGTGAAAGATCATTTATAACAATTAAGAACAACTACATGACTGTAAATTTTATCAACAGATTTGTAACTGGTTGTAGTCTATGCTTGCAAGCTAATTATGAAACAAAATTTGCAATTGGAACTCCTGTTACAATACCGGCATGCAGGATTTCTACAAGGGAAGTTGAAATTCAAAAAGGAGTTTCTTGATTTAAATTTTGTTGTACAGGAAATAATTACTTGTGAGATAATACTACTAATTCTTCCTATTTAGGTTGCAGGTTGGTTAAGCTGATTGTACATGTATATTTTATTTTTAATTGGTCATGTTATTTCTCACACTTGAAATATTTATTTTTAGCGGTAATATTTTTATTGTAATTAAGAAATAAGGGTTCCGAAAAAAGAAGACTTAGATCACATCGTGAAATTCAAGCTGTATGTTAAACGCTTTTTGGTTAAAAGTGTAGAGAACGGGACAATAAGTGCTTTCTTCACCAACACCTATGCTTTTTTTCAGTCACGTTTTCGGTTGATATTTAAAACAGCTACTGGACATGTCGTTCAGCTGTCGGTAGCAGTAGTAGTTCCTTTATTTATAAGCTGTTAACAGTCAGCATAAGTTAAAACTAGTCCCATTAAAAGTGATTAAAACGGTTTAACATTGAAATGTCTCCTTTGTTGGCTCCATTTATAGTGCAGTACGTGATCACGGGAACAATAACAGCGTTTGGGAATCTTCGTTGAAACCATCGTAAAGTGTCGGAGTTTTAGTATCCAATGAACCACTGAACAACTCAAGAGCGCTCGGAATATTGTCGTAGTGCGATCAGTTGCTTAGCAACCAGATATTGCAACATGAAATAAGCTGGTGACTGAGAGGTGGGAATAGTGTGGAACAAGAGAAGGTGGAAGGGGTGGAGTACGTCTCTTGGATAAAGCAGTCATACTTCTTCATTTTCTTCGCGTGATTACAGATGGATATTTATCTCAAAATCAAAATCACGGTTCCAGGAAACAAAGGGGAAACTTACCCACCGGAGAGTAATTTTCACTGATCCATATTTTATTAGCTCCGTCTTTCTATTACTAATAACACAAATCTCCTTGGCAGCATTCCAGGTCACATTTCACATCTTTAATGCCCATCTGCCCAAAACCACTGCTGTTTTTGCACCGACGCACGGCGTCGGGTGTGCATTTATCAGATGTTGCGCAAGTCTTCACGAACGTTGTTGTGTTAAAGAAGCCCATGTCGACATGCACCATTTGACGGAGGCAGTGCGTATCCTCGGGCTCACAGGTTAAAGGATCCTGTGACTTTGCACAGTCCTCCCACGACGAATAGCTGAGGCACACATGGCAGCGAAGAGACAAGACTGCAAACAAGCGAAACTGAGTTTTAAAGAAGGAGAATCATCCTGGCGTTTAAACTTGTGATCAGATAAAGGCCAAAGAAAGCTTGTCTTACTTCAGGATAAATGTGTCCAAGCCCCGACCCACCCTCTTATCAAAGCTTCAAGCTCGTGCCATTTAATATTTTCTACCAGCATATGTTAGCGCTCTGATGAAACTAGAACAGGAAAATTATCGACTTGGGGTCTTTGACTCCAGTGGTGGATATCAACGTTTCAAAACTTGAGTGAAAAGAAGTGTATGACAATCCGAAAAGAGAATTTCCATCATACTGATGTACGTATGACCTTTGAAGGGGCTCTAAGTCTACTACTTTAATACATTGCTAGAATACAACGGATCCTTGGTGCAAAGACTGCAGCTGAGACTGTACACTAATCTTCAAGTTGCTAAACTTTAAGCATTCCTCCTTGCAAGTAGATTTATGGACGTGTCTGACGGGACTCGAGCGAGCGTAAGTAGTCGTCCATATCGAAAGGTGGGCGAGCCGAAGATCTCATTTTTTGTGTGACATAATATCTCTTAGCTTGTATGGGATGAGACAATGCTGCGAAAGCATTTTACTGCATGGCTACACTCCATAATTGTTACATTTGCCTGCGTAAGTTTTCAGACAAACACTCGAGTAAGTATCATTTAGTTAATGTACTTTTTTTTAATAGGCCCCAATATCCTCTCCTTTACATTATCACAGCAGCTCACCTGGATCGAACATGTAAGGCGAAATCATGACCGCCAGGAGCACAACGGAGCACCTCATTCTGAATTTAAAAACGAATTATAAGAAATCACGAAAAACGTTTGGAAGCCCACCTTACTTTCGTCCCAATCCGGGCATTTATTTCTGTCCCGTAAAAGTATGCTCAGGAAATTTCTGAAAATGAAACTTAATTAACCCGACCACTCTTTGGAATCCCAAGCTTTAGGGCCTGTTTCAGTTGGAGGTGGGGCATCCCGGGTAGGTCCGCAGGTCCATATAATCTCTCATTTTGTATTGATCACTTTCACTTGATAGGTGGCGTAATCCACCCAGGCGGGTTGCCAGGTCTGGCGGATAGCGTAGCCCTCTCAACGGTTGTCATATTTTACCATGTAAACGTTTCAAGGTAGGATAACCCGCCTAGCCGGAGTGGTGTTCATGTTATATCTGAAAGTTCACCAAATTCTAAACCACAACTGTATATATATCTGCCCGCGACTACAAACCCGGCAAGCAAGTTTTTGCCGACTTCTTCTGCCCTGCCAAGAATTGAGAGTGAAAGTGACGCTTCAAGTCCGTGTAAACACCACCACTTCGACTACTTTGCCGTCGATAGCACAAGGCTAGAGAAAGGTCCCCGTTCTCTACGAGAACGAAAACCAGGTAGCAGCCGCCAAGAATTGCAAGAGGTTTCTAAAGAACGAGGAATGGACAGTCGATCAAGTAAATCGCTGCAGCAGAAGCAGCTAGTGGAATTAAAAAGGCTAACAGAGCAACACGTTGTTCAACCGCCATTTTGTCTTTCTACGAGGTTAACCTCAAGAAAGTTCACCCCGTAATGGCGGGGTTGGTAGTATTGCTTATAAACGCGGGCTATTTTCCTACGACCGTAGGCGGGTTGCCTCACTTAGCAAGCAAGCCCGTAAATTTATTCTGTTTACAAGACCACTTCAAAACCCGACAATTGACTAAGGCAAACAGAAATTAAATGCATACATTGTATTCGGAGGCAATGAAATGTTTCTGTTGTGTTGCCCATACCGCAGTCAGGATCTGGTCGATGGGTGACAAAATTACTTCACTTCACAAGATTTAAAACGGATCAGTACTATAGTCAGTTTAAATCTTAACGTTACAATCTAAATTATCGTATACATTTGCCACCTCGGGCGCTCAAAATGAATTATTTCGTGGCAAATAAAGCCAATGCTGTCTCCTCGACGCAAAAGTCGTTAAACGGGACAATCTGTCTTTGTGTGAACAATAAAATGGTACAACAAATTTTTAAGGTGGCGAATAGCAGCTCTTTTAATTTTCAAACTGGCAACAATCAAGGTTGGACTGATCATCAACGTGAATGACCTATCATGTGACGCCAAACCTTCCTATCGACCTTAAAACTAAATTGCATTAAGCATTCCCCGGAGAATGAAGAATCCCAAGTATTTCCACTTTAAAAGGCAAAACGTGTTTAAAATGGGGTAGGTACAAATTGCAGTACTATCTAAAACTACCCTGCTTAGTTCATGCCGTACAGCTTGACATACCTGTTTGGTAAGGCAGAAAAAGCAAACCTCTCCAGAAGAGTTGAAAATAGAATTTGACGTTTTACTAATTCGATTCCCCAATTATTTACAATCGTTCAATAAAACACTCGCCAGGGCGTAACAAATTCTGTCGCAAACATTTCGTTGCCATGAAAACGGCTTTGTGAGAAGGGAACGGCCAAGGGTGGAGGGAGCGAGAAAAATGATTTAAAATAGATGCAGAATGTTTATTTTCACTGCACACTCCTCTCCACTGTTCTCTGAAAAGGAGTATTTGTTCTTGTTCGTACTATACGGAGAATATGAGAGTTCGGAGATAATTTATCGTTTTCAGTCGGGTCCTATAAAATCCAGTTCTGGCCATCTCTAGCTCTCTGTCACGCAACGCTACGCCCTCAGCTCTCCGCCCTAAAGCGTAGCGTTGGGTACAGACGTAGAGGGCCAGAACTAGACTTGGTCGGGTCCCGTTGAGTACGTGTCTTATGTGGTTTTATTTGGCAGTCCGGGCCCAGTTGAATTGTTCAAAGGGTGGATAACGCTATCCACCGAATAAATCACTATGGCGTACTTTTTCTTTTGCCAACAATTTTCCGCTGGATAGCGATTTATCCTTTCGAACAACCCGGGCCTGCATGCACTTTGAAAACCATACTTAAGCTTACGTAAAACAAGACATAGACACTACAGGGAGTGAAAGCCTTGGAGCCTGGCATCCCACTAGAGGTAAAAGAAGGTTAAGCAGTAACCTCGTTCCCAGGGTTGGGAACCCTGGGAACAAGGTTAGTTCAGCAGGTGTATGGGAGAGACGAGGAGCAGCCTATAGACTATATACTTAAGTTCGACTTTTCACTGTCTCTCAAATTGAAATTTCTTTACAGATTGTCATACAGTTCAGTCATTTGATACTCCGAGGACTGATTTCACTCATGAAGTGAAACACACTGGACACATATTAGTACTATAGCAAGAGATAGAGGGTCAAGGCAAGTACCTTGATCTTTTCTTGTGCTATAGTGAATGTAGCTGCGTTTCGGGGTTTTATTATGCTTCTATTTGACTCTAAATTCGTTGTTATTAGCAACTAAAGTGAATACCTCGGTAAATAGGCGACAACGGGTTATATAACTGGACAGAAGCGTTGGCAGGCCTCCACACACTCGGTGAGGGCATGCGTCATACAATCAGGGAAGCATTTTTCTTCACAGCTCAAGCTATTTTCTTCTGCGTCTTTTTGTTGTGAAGGATCTAAGAAATGCCGGACAAAACCAGGATTAGCAATGGACACTGCTTAAAGCTTAAGAAAGCCCTTGTTTGAAAGACTTACATGCAAAAAACTTGTCTTGCTTTACAGTTTGCCAGCAGCATCGTTTAATTATTTTTTCGAAAGATCATTCGCTTTGAACTGAGGTAGGGTGACTCTGGAAGGCGAGCCAATGGTTTTCTTTTTTGACCTAGATAGTTTGGATCAGTCTGTTTAACTTGCCTGCCATGGACGAGTCGTAGGTCAAACTAGTTTATTAGCCCGAGATTGACGTTCCTTTGAATTGAACGTGCTCGAAATTGAAAGCAACAGAAGAAACCAATTGAAAAAGATATTAATTTTTTTAAGCTAATAAAAAGCTGTGAAAAACTATGTACGTTCAACGTTTTTGAACATTGAGACATCATAACTTTTATGATCTCAAGATCGAAAACCTCAATGCATATAGTTTAAACGGCTTTTACTTGAATGTTTTTTAGATATTATTTACTCGGCGAAATGTCCAAGTTGAAAAACTGAAGAGGTTTTTGAGGAAAACAAAAACAAAAAAAGGTGTTATGACGCCATCTCTGTGTCTTTCCTTCAATAGATCATAAGTAAAAACCAATCAAAATGCGAGAATTATAGTTGACTTATTATATATCGTCCTTTGAAAACCGAGGCCTAATGTATAGACCTGCCGACTCACAGTCCATCCAGCTGTGATTAGATTAAATCGTTTGATATTCAGAAACTTCGTACGATTAACATTGTTTTCATCATGATAACTGAGTTATTGCGAGCTCTGAGCTAAGTCAGTATTGAGTCACTTAAATGCGCCAACATGGACAACAATTATAATTTGGAAGACCTTAATTTTAATGAATCGACATGCACCACAAGTCATCAACAATAACGAAATGTGACTGAAACTAAGCCAGCCATCTGCTGATACTACTCAGTTCTAATATAAACCTGTAAGAGTGATAAAAATTTGCGACACTCTTCGTTTTCATACTTCACTCTCTAGACATTTAAGGAAAAAAAAAAAAAAACGCTTACCGTTCTCTTGATTCTCTCTTTATTTACCGGCCGGGAGAAGCCATCATCCAATGGATAGCTTAATATGTTTTGTGAATCGTTACCTGGACATCCTTTACCCTCATCGCTCGTCAAATAGGTAAAACAAACCCAGGTTTTTCTTCACCCTCAATTTATATGCCAAAACATTCCCATGAACAAAACAGTTTCTGTTTCTTGAGAGGACTTAAATGGCTGGCTTCGTTAAATTAAAAGGCACTAGTAAGGGATGGTTGATGAGGTTCGTACGTTACCTTCATAAGATTTCAACCAAGTGCTTTGAAGATATGAGCAAACTATCAGAGACACGAGTAATAGCTTGAGAGCGTTATTTGCCATGTTCTAAGATAAACTAATCCTTCTGAAAGATAACCAATATTCTGTCATTTGTCTTGCTATTGTGAGCAGAATCAATACAAATGTATTTGCAAGTGTTATGTATAGGTAGCAGATTCCAGTTAGATACACGTTTGTTGCCTAGGATACCACAACAGGAGACTGAACTGACAAATATTTAGTTATAGTTTTCCTAGTCCATATTTGTACTTACCGTTGTTAAATGTTACTCCTGTATACCAAGGATATATTTCAATTATTTTTTTTTTATGCTCTCTATATCCTTAACGTCCCTTTTTGACCTTTTTCTTTCTTTGTATTTGTTTTTCCTTTCACTGTCGCTGAAAGTACAAGTAACAAAATACTACTTTATAATATTTATTCAACTACAGATCTGCACTACTCTTCTAACTCTGAACTAACTTTGAAAAAGAAACAGAATGTTCAAAACAGGTCAACAAGGTTTCCAAGACGTTCGGTTTGAAGTGCGTCTCTAGGGTTTCAAACAGAAGTCTAAAGGAAAACAGTTACTTAAGTTCAGTTATGTATACGTATTTCCGTTCTTTTTTTTTTTTTAATTGAATGCGTTCTGTCATCCATCAGACTGAAGCAAGAGTCGGTCGCTGAGGAAACTAGCTAAGACTTAAGAAAAAACGACTCCTCAGTTTTCCTGGTAACGACATCGATTGAAACCTTGAACTTCATTGGTTCACGGAAGCTGAGAGCGTTTGAACTGTTACATCCTGGAGCACTGCAGGCCATTTAGAAAAGTTCAAAGTTTTAATTGCGGACTTTTTTTAATGGAAGACTTCAACATAGTTGGGAGCATTTCCTTGCTGTTCTTTATGAGTTATTTGGTGCTGTGCCAAGGTACGTGAGTCACACAAACACGATTAAGTCGTGTTGTTTATCCATGTGACACGGATCATTATTCCGCTTACAAAAGGAACTTCACTGATTGCTGTATTACATATGGTAGCTGAAAATCACTTTCTAAGTCATTTTACGTGCTATTTTTTTAACGTCTTACAAGCAAAATTAAGCAAAACAACGTCTGAATGGGGTGTGAGAGAATCTACTACCCTTATACTTTTTTGCATATGGTTTTCTAAGTATTCTGTGAGGCTAATAATATATATGCATATTAATTATATACTGACATGAAAACATAAAATACTAATAGTCAGATTGTCTGGTGTCTGGCGATATACACATCGCATTTTGATTTTATTCTTCGTACATAGTCTAAACACTTTAATGTAGAAGTCTGTTGTCTGATTGCAAATGGACAAAGGACGCAAAAAGGAATACATTACAGGAGAGAACAATAGTTTTGCCTAAAAATACTTTGGCGCCAAAACATCAGTTTATATTCAGGATGTTTTGCGCCTTAAGCTCGCAAGATATTTAGGAAAAAAAGAAGATAGAAAGTAGGGCATTATCAGTGTTTTATCTGAAGTATACGACACTCAACTTGTCCAACAAAGTAACTAAACATCGTCAAAAACCAATGTTATAATATGCACGGTCGAGTTCACCCTTAATTTCTCGCGCGTTTGTTTGACTACAATTTGCAATGCAGTTTTTTAACGAATGTTTGATCAAGTGTAACGATTTTCCTATAAACGTATATACAGAATAGTGATAGAGGTTGTTTATGTTTGAAACTATGAAGCGTTCCGTTTTACATGTCGCTGGATTCTTAGCACGTCTGCAAAGTACCTTGCTTTGTGTTCTGTATGTGGCAGGTAATTTGTTACTGAAATTCATATTTCTCTAGTCTGTTATATTTTCTTAAGAACATAATACTTATCAATGACGTGTTGATCGTACTAGTAAGCCTACAAAGCTAAGGAAGCGCTAAAGCATTCTCTGTATAAAGCTAAGCTTCTTCTTTGTCTCTCGACTCAAAAGCGTCACATGGATTTCTGTCAAGTTTGTGCAGGTCGAGTCGACTTCAGCAGTAAAATTCTTGTCGAATATTCTGCGAGAACTTGGTAACGGATGTATTCTTTACAAGGCGGGAAATGAAGCCATCTATCTAGCACATAAATGCAGGCGTCGATTCAAAGTGCATAGAAAATTTAAACTATAGAAAGAGTGTAGAGTATAATACTTGCAGAGGGGGCTGAGGATAAAAGTAACTTTAATCAACCGACTTAATTCTTGACGAATATCTTGCGCCATCTAGGTAACGGTCTTGTCTTGAGAGTCTTTACGAGGCGGGACATGTAATTAATGCGTCCGTAAAACACATAACTGCAGGCGTAGGTCGATCAGCTTAAAGTTGATAAACAAAATAGAAACCACAGAAAGAATGTCGAGCAACGTACTGCTCGCAGACAGGGCTGAGCTGAAATCAGTCCAACACATTTTCAGGGGGAAAGCCATTTTTCTAATGTGAGTGTCCTACTGTGTTTACTGGAATATCAAGTGGAAATGGCTATGATCAGTTTCATTTCTAAAAAGTAGACATAATAATTCTTTTGTTCTCAGTAATTTATGACAACACTAACCGCGTGATCGTAATCAATCACCCGTATCATTTGTCCTTATCATTTTTCTTACTGTGCAGTAAATAACACAAGAATATGGTTAACTAAAAATAAGTGAACACCTATGATTGCCTCCTAGCCACCGAATGGAAGGTGCATCCACTGAAAGCTACATAGTCTAAATGACTGCCATTAAAGGGTGTCCAAGCGTATAGGGGTCCGTATAGGTTATCCCTGCATATCCCTAGCGCACATTTCACGTTTAGATTTCTTTTAGACTCGATCGATTCTGCAGACTATTTTAGACTAAATTCGTCATGCGTAAATTTCCACTGCTTAATTATTCTGGTAACATTTCGCTTTTTTACGCACAAGTCTAGTAATTTCAGAATTTTGTTTTGCAAGTGCTATAGTGAAGTACACGAACGGACACTCAGTCACCACCAGAAGATACGATTCAAACTTAGCATCCTTTTTCCGGCTTTTTTTTTTTTCTTGTTCCTTGTGTTAATTCTGGTTGTCATCCTTAATCTTTCCCCTCTGCAGCTGCTGTTGACGCTGACGAATGCACCCAGTATACTAAATTAACCAGCGAATATCGTAGTATCACCTACTACGACTTTAAAGTCGAGAGATGTGATAACCAGTTACAGCCCGGCTGGTACAGGTTTACGGAGCAGGCTGGACGCATGATGCCCACGAAATGTGTGGCCAAGTTTCACTGCGGGGCCTACGGTCCTGGCTGGCTGGACGGCGACCATCCTTTGCCCCAGGATGGGAGGGTGAGCCGACGAGTGTGCTTTCATCTTGAAGGAGAGTGCTGTAAGGAGTGGATATTTATTAATGTCAGGAATTGCGGTAATTTCATGGTATACCAATTGAAGCCTCCACCCAAGTGTCCGCTGAGGTATTGCGGGGACGCCGTCAAAGAAACTAGCTCCAGTATTGTGGAAGGTAAGTGCTAGCAGCTACTGGAGTGATCACTGATTATGACTTTTCCACTGGCTCACTGGCTGTCTGACTGACTACCTGACTGACTGAATCTCTGACTGACATAGTAACTGACTGATTTCAATATGCTTATTCACTTACTTACTGGCTTACCGAAAAACAGATTTGGCGACCACATGACTGACGGGATGGTCGACTTAGTGGGTGACTGCCTGACTGACACACTAACTGACTGAGATGCTAATTCACGTATTCACTGAATTGCAGAATAACTGACCGTCTGACTGACTGACTGAATGGCTGGCTGGCTGACTGACTGACTGACTGACTGACTGACTGACTGACTGACTGACTGACTGACTGACGTGCTAATGACAGTTGCCCACTTAATAGGGCTGACTAGCTGCCGGATCACTGACTGACTGACTGACACAAAACGTTTTGGCTGATTGAGAGAGGACAGACAAACAGACGGGCTGACTGGCTCCTAATACGTTTATCATCTTGAATATGCAGCTCCCCACGAGTGCAAGAATCACGGCGTGCTAGACGCTATGAACAGAGCAGAGGGATTTTATGACCCTTTTCTATCACTGACTGACATTGGACTTACTCCTGGATGGTACAGGTTTAAAGATGAAGCGGGTAAGTAACTAGCCTTGTTATACCCC